TGCAGGCGCACAATGAGGACGAGAAGCCTGATTCCTGGAGATGCCTTAATTACCGGCTGGTCTCATCAACACGGACCCCTCTCACAATGGAGGCAGCGACCCGCTGAGAATAAGCAGAGACACAAGTGGAAGCAGAACGCTCTATTTGTTAGAAACACAAAGACTGAGATGATATCCCCTCAAATGGCCCCCCGACCCCCAGGCCATCCCAAGTCCACAAGAGGAGCGAACAGTATAGGGCAGATGACAAGCCAAGCTAGAGCCAAGTCCCTGGGGGAGTGCATAGAGAGGATGGCTTTCCCTCGGGATGATGGGCTGTTTGCTCTTGGGATCTATCAAAAACAGCCAACGAAACATTTGTAACGAAAAAAAAACCTAATCAACATTCACTCTGGATTTTCTATGAAAACGGGAGGAAAATGGGCAGGTGAAGAGCAGAAGCAGAATCGCCACATTCAGAGCTAAAACAAGATGTACTTCGCTGACCTTGACACGGAGCAGAAAACGGAGCAAGCAAACGCGATTCACACGATTTGCTACTGTGACTGAATTCTATTTATTCATCTGGGTGTTACGAATAACATTTTGTTACACTTTTAGTGATTTGTGGAAAATGATGAGAAAGAATTTCTTCTTCTTCTTCTTCTCTTCTCCTAACTCACCACCAAGTCACAGTACATAGTACTAAGCAGGCATACAATACAAGCCATGTCATTTGTGAATTTTATGCTGCAGGACACTAAAGAATGGGCAGCGTGACGTAAATGGCCCCCGGGCCGTATTTTGGGCATCCTGTCCTAATTTAATTCTTCATTGCGAATTAAATTAGGAGAATATATATATATATACATCCTGTCCAAATTTAATTCTCCATTGCGAATTAAATTAGGAGAATATATATATAACAGCTAGATAGATATTAGCGTGTGTGTGTGTGTAGGACTCAACATCAACGATAAGAAAATGTCCTGCACTATATACTTATGCAATAATAAAGTTAATAATTTCTCAGAGTAATATAAAAACAAATGGTCATTCATGTATGATCAGCAAACAAAGACAGTAAGTACAAACTTCAAATGAAACATAACTCCGAGATTAGACTGCACAACCTTAGTTTAGTGTGCCAATGTTAGAGTGTACAGTATTGTGTTCTGTTACTTCTTTTGCAGTCTGCCAATATTCTTATGTGAAGCAAATGGGTCACACCAAAAAAAAATCAAAAATGCTTAGCAAAATGTAATTAATAATCGCAAAGCCTGCAAAGACAGGTGCATTCGAAGATTAATTCTCCTGCAACAGGTAAGAGAGCACAGTGAACAAGACTTGAGGGCAAACTTACTGCGAACTTGGGCAACTATCTAAACAGTCACGACGTGACACATTGTTTTCATACCAACATTTCCCCAACGGTATAGCAAAGCTTTCCTGTTCACATCTGTTTTGTTGCTCCCTCTACACAAGCCACACAAATCCACTCCACTCAAGTGGTCCACACAGAACAAAAATTACCTCCTGTAAACAAAATACAAAGAACTCGGAAATGTATGTTTGGCAACGTTATTTCTTTATTGTAACACAATCGAATCGACAATTCCGTCAACAACCCAACACAAATTTCCATCCTGTTTGCTTTATGCTGTTCTTATGAAATGGGCGTGGCCTAACTTTACACACAAAACTACTTCAGTGTATACTGTACTCACCAAAAGCCCAGCCGAAGCACTTAACACTAAATCAGGTGAAGAGTTGTCATCAGACATTAGGATTCCTCCTCACACTTTCCCCATCCTAGAACTTTTACAACATAGCTGAAGTTAAATAAAACTGTTTCTTCACTTTGCCTTTCAACAGCCTCTGTTTTTTTTTGTTTTTGTTTTTTTTTTAATCTAAATTGGCTTTTTCCTGCACTTCAAGGGGCTCTAGTCTCCACAGCGAGCCCTCAGATGGAAAGGCATCACATTCACATTCCGGTTTTCTGTGGACCTTGACACACATGGGAGGGGAGTGTTGTTTTGGATTCATTTTTAACTGAGCAGGAACTAAATGATTACAGTATTCTTTTTCTACTGCACAAGAAACTTCTCTTTAACCACAAATGTGACACATCTCTACACTTCCTTCTTAGGACCACAAATTCCAATCAGCAACTAACTTTGTATATCAGGTGATAAGATATCTTTGAATACGTCACTGCTTCAATTCTGATGACAATAAACACTGCTTCCTTCGCATCTAACTATTAATGTTTGACTGACCGCAAATGATGATGAATCAGCTACCGCTACGGATATTTTTCCATTAGGTCATATGATTGCATGAAAAACAAATCCAGCTCAAGTCGAACAATGTTACCTGCTACCAAAACCTGCTACAGTATGATACTACACAACTTCGAGTCTTCAATTAAATTGTGGGTGTTTAACCTATCTCTGCTGTTTAAATGAAAACACACATTGCTTTACTTGTGTGAGAGCACAAAAACTGAGGCTGTGTGCATGGCCTTGTGTGTCAGACTGATACCCGAGAGACCTATAAAGAACATGGTATCAGTACATGAGGTGTACTGGATCGGTGCTTGTCTTATCTGCTTTGGAGCTGTTGTTAGTTGATCACCTTGACGGCCTTTCAAACAGACACAGGTCAATTATTCTCACATGCAGCCTGACCAGTGTGTGTGCAGTGTGTGTGTGTGTGTGTGGGGGGGGGGGTGCTGGACTCACAGTGTTGAGCTTCTCCTTCAGTCGCTGTGTGTTCTCACTGTAATCCATCTGGGCTTGGATCTTGTCCTTCTCAGCCTGGCACAAGGCCCGAGTGAGCTGCTGCACCTGAGCACTCAATTCCCTGGAATCCCTTTCCAGGTAACCCACCTGACTCTCCCACTGAGATCGGCAGTTTTCCAGCTTCAAGCGTAGCTCATGATTGCTCTGTTCCAGCTCCTACGTGAGGGGTGGAAGGTGACGTGAGGGGACAGAAACACCACATGAATCATAAACATGTCAACTCAATTTTAATAAATACCAAAAAATATATAAGTCTTGATTCACTGCTGATGAACTGGATTTTTCATTCAAGTCGAGAAAGCGATTTTGGACTTCAGAAGCCACGGACACTGAAAGTGAAACAACACTGGTGCCCACATCAAACCGTGTCCTCTATTATTCACTCACAGTTTAAAAACTTGGATTCATTTAACTTGCTACATTTTTGAGCAAATTTTCTGTTTCAGCATTTGAATCCAAAATATCTCTCAAGAGTTCAGACAGACTGACAAGATATTGTTGTTGAGGTTGCAATAAATTGTTCCTCATTTTAATTTACTTCAGCCCCTCTCGTATCGCTCAATTGGGCAACCAAAGATAACCACACTAACTAACAAACACACCTATTATTCGATGCTAGTAAGAGCAAAAAAAAACAAATCTGCGGAATCACGTTACCCGGAGTAACACTGACGCTTTTACTTTTATTTACTGCCCACCGCCCAAATTAAGTAAGCGCTCCAAAACCAAACAACTCTACGCACAAATTTGGTCTTTCACTTTTAAAAAGTCTTACCTCCAACTTTTCTGCGTAGTTCTCATGTAGTTTGACGCTCTGCTCTTTGAGTTGACGATTTTCCAGGAGCAAAGCATTCCCCAGCTGGGCAGCCAAAATAACCTCTTCCTCCTTTTGTTTCAAAGCGGTCACAAGATGACCGGGGTCTTGGTAATCGACTATTTCCTCCTCGCCGTAGTCGATGAAGAAGTCCTCCTCCAGGCCAATTTGCTTGGCCGGGAAGCCCCACGCGTACGGCCGATTCATTATTCCTTATCGCTTACTCCAAAGTAGCGTATGTGAACGCAGCACATAATGTGCTCCATGACACCTGGTTGTGCTGTACTTATGTAGGGCGGGAGGAGGGTGGATGGTGTTGCAGGGGGGGCACTGCAGCTGTCTGTTTGCGCAGGGCGTCCGACTGTATCACCTGGCAACGGTTAGCGTCCATTCCGGCTGCACGTTGAATAATTAAATAAACAAGCTCAATTTTAAAAAACTCTCTCATCACAATAATAAATTGTTAAATTATGGTTAAGTTGACCATAATTCAGCAATTTATTATTGTGATTGCATCCTCTTGAGAAGTTTGTACTTTGCACAAATAATAATAAAAAGAATAACAAGAATAAGAGTACAGTAATGGCTGGTTAGCAGGTCGGTCTCACAATCGAGAGTTCTCGGTTTCAGATCTCAGCTCAGGCAGGCAGTCGTGTGGAGTTTGCATGTTGTCCATGTGCTTGTGATGATTAACAGGATTTTATTATTTTTTTTGTAGTCTAAACTTGTCCAGAAGTGTGAATGGTTGATTTGTTTGTTTGCGGCACACTAACAACCAGTTCTGGGTCTAACCGTCTTTTGCTCACGAATAATAATAATAATAATAATAATAATAATAATAATAATAATAATAATAATGAGAACAAATAGAAGAGGTTTAGCCAATTCAAATAAATGTGTCAGAGTTCCCATAGTCTCAGTGAATGCACCCAACAAGTAGTCACAAAGCCTCTCCCCACCTGATCAAGGCTGCCAAGTGGAGGAGAGCGTCTCCTTGCATTGTTTGGCTTGCTGCCAAGGGTCAGAGGTCGGCCCCCAGGGCATTTTATTGAGACAGTGGCAATATCAGGGAAGAAACGGCAGCGCATCCTGACGCGTGGTACAGCTTTGTTTTCTCTGGGACGAAAGCATCAACATATGGCGGTGGTCCCAGGGGGGAGCAAGCAAACACAAACACACAGACGAAGAACATCTTTTCCATCCATTTTCTCAGCGCACACACACAGAGACAGAGAGAGAGAGAGAGAGAGAGAGAGAGAGAGAGAGAGAGAGAAGAGAGAGAGAGAGAGAGAGAGAGAGAGAGAGAGATAACAGCTCCTGTCGGCGTCGCCGCTGTCCGAACGACTGTTTCTCCGGTCAGTTCACTCTCCGGGCAGTAGGTGGCAATGTGCAACCTACTTGTTATCCAGGAAGTGAGGGAAGTCGACGTCAGAACTCAAAACATGTTTCAGTGTTTGCGCGTCAAATTCAGTTCTCAATTTGTACCAGTGTAGGTAAAAATGGACAGGAGTGTTGGTATTATTTCTGTAATTAAAACGTTAGGGTAAGTGATATTTAACTGCCGTTGTGTTTTGTGAGCGGTCCTGTTACTCCTCGTTGCTCTTAATCGTACAACGTTCACACAGGCGCAACCCGAGCTTGTTTTTTAAATGTGTTTCATTTTTCATGATTTCCTGTCGAATAACGCATATATTTATTGTCCTCTGATTATTATTTATTGAACAGGTACCAGAGCGGTTACTGTTTGTCGAGATGTACATGTGATGAACTTCCATGCCCACTGCTCGACTGGCTTACATCCCAGCTGAAGCGTCTGTGCCCAGAGCTTCAAGGTATGAATGTACAGTACAATTAAAGTAATTTCTACCCACTCTTTAATTCACTCCTCTACAGTTATGATATTTAAGTGGCATAGTAGGACCCAAAACCCAGGCAAAGGTTTCATTCCTAAAAAACAAAAAAGGATTGATGGATCGTAAATGACTGTGATGATAATAAATGAGCCATATTACTGCAAGTGTTCCCTCAGTGTACTTCAAAATGTTAATTTTTCAACTCCCAAATGTGTTCAGTCAAAATGTTGTTTGCTTACTGCAGACTCGGGTGGGAGAGGTAACGTCTTGTTAGTGAGAGAGCTAAGAACTATCCTGTCCGACTTAAAATCTCCTCTCACTGGGCTGACATCAGAGATGCTGGAGCCTTCCATCCTCTCCAGAATCACTGGTGAGAAACAAGAAATGTTGTTTTTTTTCCTGTAAGATTGTAGCGGTTGTTTGAATTATGCATGGTTTTGAAGATATCCTGCCCCAAAAGTTTGATATTGTGTCAGAAACCTCTAAAATGTTGCTTGAAACCCTGCAGAGTTCCTTGTGTCAGAATTGCAAGCGGCGCACATAATCAAATATAAAGAGCTACATTCTGACGATAAATCCGCCAGAGAAGAGGATGCAAAAGAGCAAAGAGTGGAGGAAATGTCAGTATTTTGTCCGGAACATGAAGACAATGATGCAGCCAATAACCAAAGGACAGCTGAGATACAGGCGGAGTGGATATTACTGCTTCACGCTCTTAACATGGATACATCCTCTCAATATCCTGATGTGCTGCATGAGGTGAGCTGGTTTGCAGAGGACATGCTTCATGTGAGCCGTTACAGACTGCAAAGATATGTAATACTGTAGTTTTATTTCCTATAATGCAGGTGGAGTCGAGAATTGCTTGTCTTCCTGGTGAAGCCATGACAAAGCCTCTGCTACACGCTGTCCTCACTACAGAGCAGTGGGTATGATGTTTGTACATTCTGCAGTGTATTACACTTGACTCCAATAAATTTGTCCCTGTAATTCAACTTCCAATTTCATTTTTTACTGAATGTCTTGATTCCTTAGAGGCAACTGGAAAAGATAAATCGAGTTCTGACCGATGACTATGGCTGTCGACAGCAAATGATGCTGAAACGCTTTCAGGTTTCACTTGAGTCATTTGCCTGGGGAGAAAAGCAAAAGGTAGGAATGTCGTGAGCACAATTAAAAAAATACATTGTTACCTCAACTTACAATTGACATGACTTTGGAGTTTTTCAAGATAAGGGCTGTTATTCAGCCAATTTTTTTGCCTTCAGTTGTGAGCAAAAATGTGAGGTTACAAGCGCTAGATGGTGGCAGCAAACTTCACAGCAGACATATAGTTTGCGTTATGAAATTCTGCCCGTTTAATGCCAACACACAATGCAAAATACCAAATGGGCTAATGAAACTATCGTTGATGTTATTGCTGTCTGTATATAATATACTGCCCCCTGATGGCCAATGTGTGCACATCAGAATGAGTAGTGCAATGAATTACAGAAAAAGCATGAAATCATGATGTACAAACTGTTAAAATTCTTTCCATATTATTTCTTTATTGCTGTGTGTTTTTATAAAGTACAATACTGAATCTTTCGATCAGATGGCAGTATTACTTCTTCTACACAGGAGCGTCATAAAGCAGTCACCTCAGTCCCTCCCCTGGCATCCATCGCAGTTTCGTCCAGAGTGTCTCTCCCACTTCTCCTGGCTACCAGAGAGGACCAATCCTGCATTGAGCCAATCAAAGCTGGAACCAGCACAAATGTCTACAAGGTAAAACAGTAACCTGCTCTGAAGTCTGCTTTTTAATTGTAAATGAAACTTCACAGGTAGATAATTCTTCTCTGTGACTAGAAAATGATGGGCCATGTACCAGACAGAGGAGGACGACCAGGAGAAATGGAGGCACCTATGCCTGCCTGGGCTGAGCGAAGATCGGGACATGGTGGACGCAATCAGTGGCATAAAAATCCAAATAAAAAGAGAAAGGGGAAAAGGGATTAGCAGGCGCCCCCTCAAGCTTTACTCATGTTTTTTCAGGGGAAAAAAAATCACATTAATAATTATTTGGAGTTCATTCTAAATTATAGTATGCATTTGCACTCTTTCGTCTTCTTTTTTTTTAAACCAGGATTTCACTTCCTGTAGTGTGAAGATATATGACCCAATATGCTTTGTAATCTTTTCGGGGGTATACATGGGAATAATAATTGATTTTGTATTTCTTATATTTTCACAAATGCTAATTAAAGATTATTCAAAATTTTGACGTTTGTTGTGATTTATCAACGTTTTCATATCTAGTGTATATTTAACTTGGAGGATGAATACCGTACAATAGAAAAAAAATACACGAGTAAGTTACTTAACAAACCTTGAAACTAACAATAATTTTAAAAAAAATTGTGACGAAAACGACTTGCCGGAAGTTACCCGGAGATAAATGATGTAACGCACAGAAATTTCCGGAACAGCTAAAGGTCGCCCGATAAAAGCGTTAGCTGAAGACCAGTCGCCAAATTACATCGGAGATCTTCCACGACAAAATATTGTAAATAATAAGTTGTGTATTTTGACACCATGCCAAGAGGAAGTAGAAGCCGAACATCGAGGATGCCTTCTCCAGCAAGGTAACGTTTGAATGTTACGGTAATGAATTGTTCAGCAACGTGACGACGTTTGCGCTAATGCTAACGTGTCCTTCTCAATGCATGTTGGACTGAGGAAGCGAAAGAAAATTACTTCTAACACAAAGTGTTTCAATTACAATTGTAAGTGTGACTCAAAATTTTAAAAATTGTGTGGGTTTTTGGCACGCTTCGTCAAGTTGTAGTTATTGCTTCAAGGTCATGTCGTTGACTACACCACATAACCAAATCGTGACGCTGCTCAAATAATAGTCCATTATAAAAGCCTTTCAATTTAACGTTATTCTTCTCCTATTACAAGAAAATCAAACACGTAGTGGCGATCTGGGTTATGTTGCATAAGATGTCTGATTAAGGCAGTCACTGGGTAATATCGCTTGACTTAATTAGGTAGGTTATAGCAAACCTTATTCGTATGGAATTTAAGAAGCAACTTTTAACTAGCTCTGTTAAAAACCTGTACAAATTATTTAAATTGAACACAGAATGAGTTCTTTGGTACACTCTGCATTTTCTTAGGTTTTTATCATCAAGTCAGTTGTTGTTGTTACAAAACACACTTATGGTGCCAATGTTTGACCTTTTGTGTGACTCTGTTTTCAGCCGGGCACCTCCGCCGCCCCCTCCGTCTCATGCACCTGTACCAGTGCATGCACCTCCGACCGCTATGGCTGCTCCAGCGGCAGCACCCAGGCAGCCTGGTATGTTTGCCCAGATGGCTACAACCGCTGCCGGGGTAGCCGTTGGTTCTGCGGTCGGACACACTCTCGGCCATGCGATGACAGGAGCCTTCAGTGGGGGTAGCTCAGAGCCTGCACGGCCTGATGTCACATACCAGGTTAATAAACAACCCTTTATCCATTTATAATTAAAGGTCAGAGTATTTAGTGTAATAGATGTAGGTTTTTTTATTTGTATTATTGCTGTAAAGATAAAACATTTGGTGCAACTCTTGTATTAGGACTTCTTTAAATGGGCAGCTACATGCAATCATGCAATTGTTTGTCATACATTACAAAGGACAAGTGCTAAAAGCTTAAAGCTCAAAGTTTTGTATATACTTCTTGATGATGTTTCAGAAATTCACTCAGTTGTCGGAATACCCTCAACGTAAATAACATTAACCCAGATGAATGCTCTTGAATGGTTGTAATCATCTGCCTTGTGTGTGTTAGGAGCCCCACCAGGCCCAGCCATACCAATCACAGTCCCCCTACATGCAGCAAAATACCCCGCAGCAAGCCTGTTCCTACGAGCTCAAACAGTTTATTGACTGCGCTCAATCACAAAGTGATCTTAAACTCTGTGAGGGCTTCAGCGAGGTGCTCAAACAGTGCAAGTTTGCTAATGGTAAGTATGAAAGCACACAGTTTTTTGTATGAGGAAAAGTAGCTTCTTATATGTCTGTGCCATTTTCTGGAAGAATTGGCGCATTCTCTGACAGAAGCACTGAGGGGGCCATGTTTTTTGCCATGACTGTATGACTAAATATTTTTGAAAGTTGTCTGGTACATACCACATTTACAGCATGGCTGTGTGATGTAGTCCTCATCTGATGCAATATGTTGACCTTTAAGTGCTCAAGAGGTTGATTAGAATTTTCGTATTGCTTCATAGAAATTGTGTTGGTTAATTATCTAAAAACTTTTTGTTCATCCAACAGGGCTATCTTGAATTGGATCCAGAAACCTTGAAGCGGAGGAGACCATAGACTCACTATTGCCGGAAATTAATTAATTCAAGAGACCTGAGAAATGTACTTCTATTCAACAGTTTATCATCTTCAGACAAATATCGGTCAATTCAATCAGTAGAGACTGCAGAAGAGCTTGTAGTCACATGTTGATATATATGTTGCTTTTTTGAGTTTGTTTTGGTTGCATTTTCATTATTTGCAGTGCTAGATATTTCTCTATTGTTGAGCGATACCACCTCTGATTGCTTGCAAAAACTTGCTGCTTGAAATAAAAACATTAAAGCATTCGGATCATGAAGACAAAAACCAAGATTCCAACATTTTGTCTGTCATAATGGTCATACATGGCATTACACTAAAACTGAATGTGTTTAATGTCACTGGAAACAAACTCTGTACGTACCGGTAGTACAACCGCACGTCTATGACATTAGCTAATTTAAAATTAATATAGCCGACCACCACTAGTTGAACGAACTCTAACAATCCCCACAGGTCATCAAGGCCAAACACAGCTGCCAGTGCACTTTCAATCGCTTCACTTGAACAAAGGCAAACAAAATCAACACTTTAAGTACATTCACACATTAGCTGCACTATCTGACGAGTCACTCGTCATGCAAACTGTCTAATGGGCTTTAATTATAGTTCTGAAGAGCGATCTTAAAGACATGCAGGTTGTATTGAAGTGACATAAAATGTACTGGAGCACTGTCGGGCAGTCATGTTAGAGTTTACATTTGACGTAAGACAGTTGATAAGGTTATTTCAGTAGCTGTGCTTTTAAGTATATGCTAGTCTGTCGCAGAAAGAGTGGTCACTTTAGAAGCGACAGTTTATTTTTGGCATCCTGACATTGGAGCTCCTGTCATGGCAGCGACCCGCAAAACGGTGGCAGCGTCGTTGTTCGCCCTCTTCCACTCAATGATGGATAACCTTTAAAAGGAGGGACTGAGTGAGACGGAACGCGGTGAGTGGACCGTCCTTTCTAGTTCCTTTCACTCCAATTTGTCCAAGCAAGTATGCTTTAAAACAGACGCGATAACGTTCGAAATTTTAGCTAGCACTAAGCCTGTTAATTTAACTCCCCATCTCAACGTTTTAACTTTATTTCGTAAAGGAAAGGGAAGTCAGAAAAGTGCCATAAGGCGAACATGTCGCAAAATAAACGAAATATTTTTAATATAGTATCGTAGGCGAAAACTTACAGCTTCACTGGTTGATTTTACGTCACGTTTTTATTTATTTTCAACCACTTGACTACTATGACCAATAATGGCTTAATGATTACATCACCGCAACTAGTCTATCTGGACACGCGAGCGCTTCTACTTGCCCTGGTCGAGCGAGACTGACATTCTAGCATTGTGGAGAGCTTCGACGTACTTAAGGGGAGCTACTCTACCGGCGGTCCTGAGTGTGTTCTAAACCGGGATGTTTTATGTAGAACAACGAGTGTTTTTAGCATTAAAAATGTTTACAGCGATATATACGACGCTTATTAATACATTCGTTTTACGTCGCGGCCGTATGGGCATTAACTGTTGTAAACCGACGATTACTGCTAAAACAAATCTGAACGTTTAAACTATGTGCTAAACTTTAACTTCGTTGCCTCTAGTTTCTCTCTGTAGACTGTCGCGTGGATGCGTAGAGCCTTCCTGTTGTTTCGATCACTTCATCATGACCAAAGAGGAGGAGATCCCCGACTGGGTGGGCGCCCAGGAGTTCTACGACAAATATGAGCCCAAGGAGATACTGGGAAGGTATGTTTATAAAGCATGTGACATACTGAAAGCACTTTAATTTGAGATAATTGTGATACGGAATGGCTTTGCGTTGTTTTAATCAACTTTTGTAAATCTACTGAGATGTCTGTCCTCCCACATCTATCTCGATGGTGTTCCATACATCCCTTGGGGCATGTGAGCAGAGAATGAGAGCACTAATTGTCATTCCCCTCCATTTCTCGGTTAGTGGCCCCCTTATATAAGCAATTGTTGGTGAGGTATGCGTGTGTCTTGCGTGTTTTGTTTCTCTGTTCAAAGAGGCTTTATGGATTTGGAGTTTAGATAATGTCACGTTATTGTTTTTAATTTGCATTGGGGTAAAATAATAGTTACACACTGCACTCAGTCTGCAGAGGTGCACGGTTCGATTCCAGCTCCAGCCTTCCTGTGTGGAATTTGCATGTTCTCCCCGTGCCTGCGTGGGTTTTCTCCGGGTACTCCGGTTTCCTCCCACATTTCAAAAACATGCATGGTTAAGCGCATTCGAAATGGATGTATGGATATTATTTATATTATTATTGTCAGAAGTCGGCATTCTGTCAGTACTGACCAGTGATTGGACATACAAAGTGTTTTGGTTTTTTTTTTTTTCCTCAGGGGAGTGAGCAGCGTCGTGCGTCGCTGCGTGGACAAACGCACGTCTCAGGAGTACGCCGTGAAGATTATAGACATCACCCCCTCGGACAAGATGACGCCGCAGGAGATCGAGGAGATCAGGGACTCTACAGTGAAGGAGATTGATATCCTCAAGAAAGTCTGTGGACAGGAGAATATTAGTAAGTCCATTGTGAATACACCTAAAATGTACTCCACCCTCATGTCTTTAATTGCTGTATGACCAACCCACTTTCAGTGGTCAACTATGACACATTTTGGCATTTGCCATGCGAGTATCAACGGCAATTGCACAAATTGTTTGACGTATATTTCCCTGCAGTACAGCTAAAAGATTGCTATGAATCCAACGTATTCTTCTTCCTGGTTTTCGACCTGTAAGTAAGGACGAGCAGGAAATCTGCACTTTCAACCTCATTCAATACTGTCCTGAGCTTAATTTGCTTCCAAGAATGTTAACCTATTCTTGTTTTACTACTTGTCCTCTTCAATCCAGGATGAGAAAGGGTGAACTTTTTGACTACCTCACCGAGAAAGTAACCCTGAGTGAGAAGGAAACAAGGTCACTGAGCAAATTTTGACTTCTCCCAAAACCAGCTTACTGTCATACCTCAACCACAACAAGCCTTCATGAGTGCTTGATGTATCGGTTGTAGGAACATCATGCGCGCCCTGCTGGATGTGGTTCACTTTCTCCACGAGCACAACATAGTCCATCGAGATCTCAAACCTGAAAACATCCTTTTGGATGACCAGATGAACATCAAACTCACAGACTTTGGCTTCGCCGTGCAAATGCAATCGGGACAGACGCTTAAAGGTTAGAGCTCAACTCATAAACACGATCAGAGTACCCCACCAGGGGGCCCTGTTCGACACATCGTATCCATAGTTGTCTGTCATCCACAGCTGCCGAGATATGTCGCTGGTGTATTATGATATCATTATATAGTGTTGACTGACAGCAAAACATGAAGCAAGCAGACTTTTTTAATTGAGCATGTTTGCACTGTCAAAGAAAGAAATGTCACAACTTCTCCAAATGTTCCAGCAGCTGTTTGAAATCAGAGTCGAGTCTGGTTGCGCATCCTTATGTTACAAAGGTTGCGATGCAACAAGATACTCAAGTCTATCTGCCATTGAGCAAAGAGGTCAAATAGTGATTTGCTTCAACATGAAATAGTTACATAATGAAGAAATAACTTGTTGAGGTTGCATGATTGAAATTGATAGATTCAATGAATCAATCAAAGGAAAGATCATGGAGAGAAAACAAGCATTGATTCTGCTATGGATGAGGTCACCCTGGCCGTGCCCACAGCTCGAAATTTGCATTGAAATAATAATTATTTGCACAGTACAGTATATGGGAAATGATATGTTGTGTGTATAAATTTTTTGCTTGACAACGGTTTCTCAGAACATATGCAATTTCAAAAGCAATCGGAAATAAATTGAATTGAATTGAATTGAATACAACTTTATTGTCAAATGTGCTGTACAGCACAGATGAAATTTCTTCCCTCTCAACATAAAATGCTCACTTTAAGTCAGGCCCTGTCTCTAAATGCCCATTTATTGAGGACATTTTTACACACCAGATATCAGATATGGTCATTATGACTATCAATAATGAACTAATTAAGCACCTTAAACACTATTTGACAGCCTGTAAAGAGACGCTTGTTGCCTGAAGCCAAACTTGTTCGATGCTAAAACGTTTGTCTTTCCTGCAGAGGTGTGTGGGACTCCTGTATATCTCGCTCCTGAGATCATCCAGTGCTCCATGGACTCTGGCCACCGCGGATATGGAACGGCTGTAGACATGTGAGGGGGGAAAAAAAAATCAAAACAGTAAAAATGATTATATGAAGTGCATTTACGGACATTGTCTGATGGCTGTGCTTGTGGACTTAAAACGCCCTTGCTGTACTGCTCTCAATCCCTTCCAAGAAGTCGAATTCACTCACTCACGTAAGTGATATGAAAGCTCCTGCTATCCTAAACCAATTCTGCCACGGTGCTTGCCCTCTGTGCAGATGGAGTGCGGGTGTGATCATGTTCACACTGCTGGCTGGCTCTCCACCCTTCTGGCACAGGAAACAGATGCTAATGCTGCGTATGATCTTGGCCGGGGATTACAGTTTCTCATCCCCTGAATGGGACGACCGCTCTGACACGGTCAAAGATTTGGTCAGCCCCTTTAATTCACATTCTCTCAGTGGTTTACCTCATCTGTTCCATATAAACTGCCTGACAGTAAAATATACTCATTTGAGTGTTTTTATCAGATCTCTCGGATGCTCGTAGTGGACCCGAAGCAGCGTTACACAGCCATCGACGTGCTCAATCATCCGTTCTTCTCCCAGTATGTGGTAGACGAAGTCCGACAATTTAGCCCGTACAGAAAATTCAAGGTGAGGTCTTACGAGCTTAAAGTATGTGGCTTAAGGACATCAAACTCTGAAAGAAACAAACTCTTAAATGTTCGACCAACACTTTTCAGTAAGAGCACCGGTACACCATGTCATCTAAATAGTCCAGTGATTGATTTACACGTCGACCGCTAATGAACGAATATACTTTCTCTACTAGCAGCGGCACCTTAAGGGGAACTTAACCTCCAATCAAATAAAACTCCTCAATATAGTATTTACAATTCTTTTAACCATATTTTCAAGATCTTATAATTTTTTTTAATGACAATGAGTGTGGGGAGCATGATGAAATAGCGGTTTCATCGTCTGACTTTTTTTAGCTGAACTTGAGGAGAGAAGAATGCATTACCATTAAGTTTGATCAAATGACATGATATCGTAAGTGGCGCTAAATTGAAATGTTCAAGTGCTTGCGCTACCCCAAAACCAATGGACGACACTAGTACCTTAAAGAATGCTACTTTTCCACCAGGTCATCTGCCTCACAGTACTCGCCACCATGCGCATCTACTGCAGCTACCGCAGAGTCAAACCTGTCACCAAGGAGGTGATCAAAAGTGACCCGTACGCAGTCAAGCCCATTCGCAAGCTCATTGACGCGTGTGCCTTCAAGATCTACGGCCACTGGGTCAAGAAGGGCCAGGCGCAGAACAGAGCGGCACTTTTCGAGAACACTCCCAAGGCCATCCTGCTGTCCATAGCGGCAGAGGCAGATGAGCCAGTCCAGCATATATGGTAATAAACAGCTGGATAGCCAAGAATATGATAAAAGTGCTGGAAGTTAAAAAAAATAAAAATAAAAAATGTTCACTGTGCATCTTTAAGGTGATCTGAGCCAGACGTTGTCATCAACGCGTCAATTTGTATTATGTGGATTTCGTAACGCATGACATAATATAATTTGGATGTTTTATCATGTGAAAATGTTTGAAATGTAGCCTTTTCTGTTTATGGAAATAAAAAAACAATACAATAACAGTCAGTGTTAAACTTAGTTTTCAACGTTTATTGTTTTACCCTTTTGCAAATCATCACCCATAATTACTCCTTCAGCATCCTCCTGTTCCAATGGCACCTCATGGATGGAAAATTGAAAGTCTGCATGAATCCACACACCACCATCTAGTATGACTTAGGCCACAAGATCATAACCATGCTCAAGCCCTGTTGAAGGGAAAAAAAAACACATAAAAAGAATCGTCCAAGTTTGCTATTGGTTCAACTGTAGTACCGTTCACAAAGTCACTGGATACGCAGAATATTATAGTCACAAGAGTATCAGTGTACTCATTCCTATATTGCTGGATGAAGCTGAAAACAATTCACCCATAGTTAAAAGAAACGAGGCAATACTCTTGCATGGTGTCTGACTGTGTCCACCACAGAGCTGGAACAGAATTCTGCCATGCTGTCAATGTCTTCCATTAAGAATAATAATGCCACATAAGAATCTGAATCTCGATTGTTGAAATTAACTCCCTATTTGTCAATTATTAGGTGCATTTACATTGGACTGTGAGAGCACACCTCATCTTGTGGTCCAGAAGCGGAAATGTTTGCATGGCATGGTCTTCGGCCCACCAATCAATATGGCTGATGTTCTGGGGGAGAACGAGAAGAAAAGCATGGCATGGTTAACGGTAAGAAATTCTGTAATTATTCACTCATTATACTGCAAATGTTTACTATTAAAATGAAATGTAAATCACTGACAATAGAATGAGCCACCCAGTTGCTCTTTCATTGTAAAGTCTGTGTGAAAACTGTTATTTCGCATGATGTCTGACTGAATTTACCACTTCAAGAGTAAATCAGAATTCGGCCATGCATTCAGACACGTGCCTGTCGGCAATGTTACCAGTTGTATCAAAAAATCGACATCTTAATGTACAGCATTTACATTGTCAACATTCCATACATCATAATTGTCCAAAGGAAGGAAATACCGTTATTTATTTGCTATAGTATAGCTTCACGTGAACGATAGGCCCAGTTGAGATTCAAAATGCGGCACGATAGAAATGCTAACAAGCTAAAGCTAAATTTAAGGCAATTTAGAACCTATAGCCAGCAGTTGACGTCATATTTTCTATGAGAAATACGCAATCTTACTCACGCCTCAATTCCTCAAGCGGCAACGTAGCACAAACCTCAAACATCCGCTTTTATTGACTAATGTCTCCTTGCACAGTGCCTTCTTGGTGGCTTTTCCTGTACTTCGACGGACTCTGCCGAGTCAGACAGTCGGTTCTGATGTAGGGGCGGGATCATTTATATCAGAGCCCTGATTGGTCATACGTTCTGACGCGCGATCATATGAGAGTGGGCGGTCCATCACCGGCTTCGCTCTGATTGGTGCAACTCGCGGCTCCGCTCTTCTTCTGCAATTTTCACTAACTGATGCTTCTGTGCGGAGTTGTGCGGCTCTTCCTGAAACGGTCTCCTGTCCACTTGCTTCGTTGCTGTATAGAACGGTTTGTTCTTTCTGTTGATTTTCCATTTCCTGTACGACATCCTTGTCCTGTTACTCGTTTCACATAAAATGTATCTTTTAACAGCCGGTGTCAACTAACTGCACGGCGTAAACAGAATGTATTGGGGTGAACGTAACCGGTTTAATTTTATCAAATGTCAGCGGTTCTTCAGAGATGTATGGCGATGCACTATTTTGGCATCAGATTGTCTGCTACGTTGCATTATTCTATTTAGTTGTGTACTTTAGGGTTGCAACAAATTATTATGAACATGGTGAGTGAGGGGGTGACGCAACAGTGGCAGATGATGTCCACCATGGCCCCTTCATATGTTTTGTTTAGGCGGGCCGCATTATGCAACGTTTGTTGGCACTCACACGTTAAGATTAGAGCCGTTTTGTTTTTTGTTGTTTTTTTTTTTTGTTTGTTTTTGCGGCTTCACTGGATGCTAGACATGTATTGTCATAAGGATGTTGTACATTAGACGTCACGTGTACTTTAGCTGAGGACTTGCACTTGAATAGATGTAAAAGTTCTCAAATAAAAAGAGAAGACGTACTGCTCCAACTAAAATAAATAAAGAACAAGCTCTGACGTGCTTAATTGCAAAAGTACAATTGAATTTTATTGTCAATTATGTACCATTTATTCCCTTTGCACGATGAAAAAAAATATCTTCATTCAAAATAGTTTCCCTCTTTTATTAACTTATACAATAAGGCAGTGGATGGCGAAAAGCTTCTCCACATCTGTTCCCTGGTTCATGTTGATCCATTTCACTGCTGCAGGCCTCCCTGAATTTATCTGCCTTCCAAGACCCCAAACTGGCTGTTTTACCTTATGCCGTCTAATGTAGCAAGCCCGTTTTGAAAAAGTAGAATAGAAAGTAAAACTATGTGTGGGGAAATAACAGTGAAAAAGTAATCTGAAAAATAAATACTCATGTGCAGTACAAATACAGGTTAATACTAATAGTTTCAGGCTAACTTCAAATGTTGACACACCGTTTATGTAATTATTATGTCCCTTTTTTTTTTATTACTAAAACTGATCAGAGAGCCCTACTGGAATGTTCGTTATTTTTCTTGTTTATTCCGCTAATATTGGCAGTACTGTAGTTCTGTTCACAGTATTGCAGTGTCCACAATGTCACAGACTAAAGAACTTTTTAGAAGAGCAGAAGCTGTCTGTTTTGACGTGGACAGCACAGTCATCAAAGAAGAAGGCATCGATGAACTGGCGAAGTTCTGTGGCGTGGGGGACGCCGTCACTGAAATGTAAATACATTCATTCTTGTGCACAACTATCCCCCCCGTGTTATCGCATCACATGACACGAGCCTTAATTTGCATGTTTTAGGACCCGTAAAGCCATGGGTGGCTCGATGACTTTCAAATCAGCTCTGACTGAGCGCCTCGCCATCATCAAATGTTCCAGAGAACAGGTCAACAAACTGATTACAGACCACCCGCCACAGCTGACCCCAGGTATCAGGTACGAGAGGCAATCCCCATTCTCAGTTTTGTTTCATCTCACTTACAGCATTCTGAACATCAATAATTCCCGGAAAAGTACCAAAAGTCCGCAAATTCCTTGGAAAAATACCATAAGTCATTGAACGCTTCGGGAATGCCACCCAAATGTATATTGCTGATAACATTTCGAAGGCATTCTTAAAAACCCCTGATTGATTCACCAATTGAATTGAGGTGTATCAGCTTTGATGGTATGACCATTGAAGCGATAGTGATATGAATTTCCTTTAATGTTCATGACTGTGGTATTTATGCATTAACGTTATTGTAGAATTATGTGATTGACAAGCTAAATACACCCTCATTTCCAACAATATCCAGGGAACTTGTGGACCGTCTACACCAGCGCAACATCAAGGTGTTCCTCATCTCAGGTGGCTTCCGCTGCATTGTGGAACACGTGGCCACTCAGCTAAACATTCCTCTAGAAAACGTCTACGCCAACCGACTCAAGTTCTACTTCAACGGTAAGGGGACTATAGTGTGGGACATTGAATTATGATACACACTCACCAGCCATGACATCAGGTACCAGAGCAGTGTTCATGAGATTACGGTGGTACCTCAAAATTCAAATTACTGGTACCTATTGACGAAACCATTTGGAATCCGACCCTCGGAGTTATTCAGAGCCTCAGTCCAGAGTCTACCTGGTTCTGGGTTTGAATCTCGTCTCCAGACTTTCTGTTTGGACTTGGCATGGCCTCCGCAGGTATTCTGGCTTCTTCCCATGTTCCAAAGACATAAATGTTTGCTTATTTTGAGACATAATTATCAACCAGATGTCAATTACTACCCTTCTCCAAACATGTCCCAACATGACTTTACTTTTTAAGAGATTGAATGTGGTTGTATATAGGTGAGTACGCCGGATTTGACGAGAGCCAACCGACAGCAGAGAGCGGAGGCAAAGGAAAAGTAATTAGCATGCTGAAGGAAAAGTACGGCTTCAAGACAGTGGTGATGATTGGAGATGGAGCCACTGATCTAGAGGCCTGCCCTCCCGCTGTAAGTGTTTATGTTAATGCTGTGTGGGTTCATTTAAATATTCAGGTTTGTATTTGTATTCATTGTTTTGAAAACTAATCCGGTTGATTTGTTCTCCCTCCCCCCCTGCAGAATGCCTTCATTGGATTTGGTGGCAATGTTGTGAGGCCACAGGTTAAAGAAATGAGTTTGTGGTATGTCACAAGTTTTGGAGAGCTGCTGAAAGAAATGGAAAAGATTTGAATATTCTAGAGTACATTTACTCTTTTTATGATTTTTTTTTTTTTTAACTTTACTAATGTTATTTGCACCAAAAGTTGTGTATGTGATGGTTTTATCCATTGTGCACACTCCCTTTAAGTCAACAAATTTTAAATCATTGACCATGTTTACTATAGTTCGACCAATTCTACCCTTCATGTGGTTTCTGCCATCTTGATTTTCTTTACTAGACCATACTATGTGTGGAGGTTAAACATGTAACATTTGTGTTTTGGGCACTTTTTACATACGACTTACTCCTACACAATACACAATGGGAAGTGCAATGTAAAAAGAATTGCAATCGGTCATGTGAGTGACAGGCTGCATTGAATTATGTGTAAAGACTGAGTATTAAACACAAATATTGTTGCTTGAACTTCTTTAATTCTATGTCATTGTTGCCCCCGAAAGACAAATAAAGATGCATCTCTTTGTTTTTTTTTTGCTGATAAAATCCGACAAAATGTCGTGGTGTGCTTGCCCACGTAATTTGTCATGAAACTGAAAATACCGTACATCTCATATATATATATATATATATATATATATAAAACAAGTCATGCTCAGTTCACAAGGCCACAAAAAGATACAAAGTCACAAACAAAAACAACTCACATGGAAACTCAAGAAAAAAACAGTCAAACAAGACACGTTTCAAGTCAAAAATATTAACTAACTGAAAATGAGTATGTAATAAACGTTCATAATGTCACCCATGGAACACAAAATTCAGATGTTATCCCAGCTAACATTGAAATGGTTAACACTAATAAATAAAGCCCCCTGTGTTAGTAGTAGCTTGCTGTGTTGGTATTACGATAGTTTGCTCCAGCAGTTATGATATACAAACGGATATCAACATTTACATACCATACAGCTGCTTTGTTTGAAAATAAAGTCACTTTGATCGGTTGTCCATCAATGAGTTTACATGTGGCAAGAGTAGATGTTGGAACGAATGACCAGCCTGTGGGATAATGCAGTGGAGTTGCAAGGACTTGTGTCAAAGCAACTCCTGACCCTTTCCAAAATCCTAATATTGAAAAGGACACGTTTGTAGATTATCGTAAGGTACATTGTGTCGATGTCGATGCCTGGCAATATAAATACTGCAAAGCACCAGAGAGATAAGTCTTTCTGAATTAGCAATTCACCTCTTACCTTATTGCAAGTTGTGTTATGTAGATTGATGTGCTGCACCATCAGCTTAGTGAGTATTGACTCAATCACACATGCACTCAAAAACAACAACCCCGAATTGTTAGATTTACTTGCAAAATTTGCTTTGCAACGAGCCAAAGATTCCAAATACAAATTTAAACAGTGCAACGGAACCATTTATTTAAATTAGCCAACCGCTGAGGGTTGTGTGCATTTAGCAGGTGTAAATAAGAATTGGGGTTGAATAATCATGAGTGTAAACTGTAACAACCAAAACACGCATCTTGCCAGAAATACAAACTGGAAAACATTCAGTAACCACAACAATTACTCTTGATTTTAAATGTTTAGCCCATGCAATACCACTAGCGGCTAACACAATATGTAAAAGTTCCTTGAGCCGTCCACATACAATATATTTCACGGAGTTGAACAGTCCTGAAACAACGAAAATGATGAAAGACAAAGGTCGTGTTGTTGTGCAGCACTGAAACCGTTGAAAGTGATGCTCTTGGGCTACTCATTTCTCAGGGTACCACCCCATGCTCATGCCTGCAAGAGGTTCCGGTCTTTTCACTTGAGCGGCGATGCCTTGGTGGGGATCATAATCCGGGATTCCATATGCTGGATGAGAGGAACTGTGGGGGGGAATATATGCAGCACCAGTTGGATAAAAAAATCTGCTCTCACCAGTTTAACTCAAAAGTTTTCAAACAATGATTTCAGTTAGAGTTCTAAAAATAATTTTAAATAGGGCTGAGTTTCTTTTTCTTCGTATATACTCACCTGTATAATAGACCACTTCGTGCCAGCCTTCCTCCTGCCATGCACCTTTCCTTATGTCCTCTCTGGATTGAAGGTCTTTGTAGGCTGCAAGAAACAAAATCTATTACAGCTCAAGCCCATTTACTGCTGTCACACGGCATAGTGTAACAGAAGCCACTGTGTTTACACTAAATTGGTGCACCAGAGGTTTAACAGTAGACCTGAGCCTTATGTGATGTCTTTAGACAGAAATGGCTCAAGCAGGTACCGGTAACTGCTGCATAGCAAGTGCGAGTTCAAACAGCTTGTGTGGGGGAGCTCCATTATTATACATTTAAACGTGTAGCTTTCAATTGCTTTCAACACACAAGGGCGTGGCCAATCTGTCGCTGTTGTTCAATTGACAATCCACTTATGAAGAATTTGTTGCCAAACTCCCCACACCACGCAACAATTCAGTTTTGGCCATGTCTCTCTCAGGCCTAAAAAAATGCCAAACTTTTATTTTAAATGACTTTAATGCTGTATGGTATTTTCCCATTGAACTGGTTTCTTGACTTTACCCCAGAGGTGATGAACCATGTAGAGGTTGCCGATCTGTGAGAAAAACCCTCCAACGGCTTCACTGTTTTGCTGGCGTAGCCGAATAGCTCTGGCCCTGCCAAAGACAACAAAACAATCATTTATGTCATCTATGGGAAGAAAACTACAATCTGGTCAGAGTACACAGAGGAAGAATAGTCCAGATATTTGGTCCAAAAAAAGAAGAACACTTTATCACAGTTACGGATTAGATACAGAAATTCAGATGACAGTGTGACTGCGGGGAATTTTTGAAATGGAGGCACTCATTGTCCAAATACAGTAGACTGCAGTGCTGTCTTTTCATTTGTTTAATCATTGAGCAGTCCATTCTGTGCGGGCTATTTTTAAGGAGGGTTCAACAGGGTCTATGAATGCAATTAATTCATGCTGTCTTACCAGTAATTACCCCACTCGATCATTGTTCCTGGCTGGAGAAAAGAGAACAATGGGATGAGTAATAGAAATGATAGTCAGACCTTGCTTCTTTCCAGGGATATTGAGTCAATAATGCAAAAGTGATACGTCATTCTAAGCATCAGGACAAGTATATCCAAAAGGCTCCTCCAATATCTACCGATATAATACTCTAGGTTTAATACGTTTGGCTGAATTTATTTGCACAATGTTGCATCCGGAAACAAAACCAAAATATTGCTGAGCCAGCCATTCACATTGTTCAAAATGGACTTCCTCTGAAGCGCAATACTGCAACTGCAGTTAAAATAAGCAGCTGCCGCGGAAGGGACATCAATCCCTCAATCAGCACATTTGGAGCTTTCTGCTGGATTGAGTGATATCAATCGGTCCGGCTGGGGGCGGCCGCCACGCGACTTGGAACGCAGGAAGAACCCTGTGATGTAATTACCACACAATGCAGTGACACAACATATTGATCATGACAGTCGATGCCAACATTTTTAATTGTCGATCGATTGGATTTGTTGTGCCACATGCACAGAACCACGAGTCTATTTACAAATTAAATGTGGTTGATTTGTGATGAAGTGCTGCACCCACAATTGAAAATACAAATGATGATTTTATTGAATTTATGAGGGTGCGCTTTTCTCCTAGATTCTGGGCTGCTTGAAAACAAGTCGTAGTGGTGTTGTGGGCTGGGAAGTGGCTCATTTACATGAGACCATTTCCAGAAGACAAGAACAATCGTGAAAGTTGTGATTTAGTTATTGACCTCGTCGAATAAACGCTTGTCAAAAACATGAGACCATTTTTGCTCATGAAAAAAAAATGCAGAATATTCATTATCTCCTATCCATGACTCTTGGGACCCAAACGACTCCAACCTATGAACATAAATTAACCATTTAAGACTGTTGGGAAGTAAGACAAAACCCCACCTGGCGCTTACGAGGTCTCAAAGAGTAATAGAGTTTAAAAAAAAAAAAAAACAGTAGCGCTTGAGTACTCACCCTGAGTTGGTAGGTTCTAAGCTCGTATACGTTGGGTCCCTCTCTAGGTACTGGCTCGTTCCAGAAACTGAACTCCAGTAAAAGCTGATTTCTGCGAGACAGCAGCATCTTACCACGCTCCTTCCTGTACTCCGTGAACTCCTGCCGTGAGGATAAACATGGGCCAGTAATGGGCTACATTCTACTTGGTTTATGACCCTGATAGGAGCAATAGGATGTGTGAAGAGGTTCTGCTCACCTTGTTCTGACGTAGCTTGTTCATCACCTCTGTCAGAGCTGGGTAACCACCTCTATAACGCCACAGGTGAACTGGGCAAAAAAAAAAAAAAAAACCTGCATCAGCACATTACAACATCATACATATTTACAATCCTAAACTGTGTCATTTACAACAATTAATATCTTAGGGTGGGGAAAAATGTCACAAAAGTGGATATGGAGATTAAGTATGTAACTTCTGCCATACAGTGCAGAGTATTTAATTGGTTATTTGTAGAAAATAAATAAGTGTATGGACCCATTGTTTTTAATGGCACACTTGATGATCTCAGAGTACACTAATGTGCAACTAGACAATACCTACAGAGAAACGTTGCTATGATGTCATATATTTGGCAGTGATGACATAAGCAAGCCTACCAGCCTGGTCCTGTTCTCCATACCAAGTATTCCAGGTGCCCACCAGCTCACAGGGGTAGTACTTATCAGCATGGATTGAGGGCAAGACATCCTCGCTGTGGCAAAAATTACAATTTCACAAACAAATCAGTTAATGTTACCTACACTGAACCATGATTCTAACGCTATTTAATCGAAAAAAAACCTTGCAACTATGCCTAAAATTACAATTGCATGAAATTCTGTTAAATTTCATGTCATGTCTATGGTTGCAGAAAGAAATAGAAGCTAGCTATAAGGACTTGGCCTGTAGACAGATGACTCGAAGCATAGCAGCTCCTTAAACACCTCACAAGAATAGACCACACTGGTTTCTTTTTACTGGCTGCACAACGCTAGGTACACTTGTCCAAGTGGTACAATTGTAAATAACGCTGAGCAAAATGTTTTGGGATTAAACAATAAAAATAAGATTTACCAGAGTTTGTTGTATGCTTCAAGACACTCTGGCTTGACATTGTGGACTGAAAATAGAGGTCAAGTTCAACAATTATGACAACTTCTGAATATTTGTTACAGGAAATGTACTTACACTGGATTTTGTAGAGGTTACTTTCCTCGTTTTTGGTCAGTAGAGCTGAGTGTGCATCTTTCCTCGGGTCAACTTTCCTGACAAAAAGTGATTTGAACCAGCTGTCTTCTCTGGTGACGTTGGATACGGAGAAGCCTCTGTAAAATAAGGTTGAGTTTTAACGGAGGAAAACGTTTGATATCAGTTGAATTTCTGATTACATCATAACATTCAAGGAGTACTAGT